AGAGAGTGAACAATGTTGGGTGTAAAATGTTTTTAAAAGTTACTCTCAACTCATCTCTGTAGTCTTTGTTGCCCCTTTAAAGACACTACAAGCATTTCATTCATTATTTTGAATTTTAGACAAATCAGATGTTTGAAAATCAAGGATTGTGGTAAGTCTAAAATTCAAATTAATGGTTTTCAACGTGCATAGTTGGACCCACGTGATGTAAAGCGATAGCAAAGAACAGAGAGTGTACAATGTTGGATGTAAAATGTTGACAATATTGAAAAAATAGGAATGCCATGAAATGGGATATTGATCTAGCAAGTCAATATTGTAGTACTATGATAAGTTACTCTCAACTTATCTCAGTCTGTAGTCTTTATTGCCTCTTTATAAGACACTACATGTATTTTTTCATGAATTCCTTTCTGAAAGGGTGACCAAAATGGGTCTTTGAATCTATACAATTAGTAAAAGGTCAGAATAAGCTTCATCAAGTGAACAGACCATCTGCCTAAATCTTATATAGCTGACAATAATGCATGACACAATTTGCCATTGCACAGGTTGGAATACATAAAGTGGCAGCTAAGAACAGAGAGTGTACAAATCTTAATGTGAAATGTTGGGAGTATTCTTCAAAAATAAAATAGTAATGAAATGAAATGGGATATTGCTGTATATGACAAGATATGCCCGAGTAAGTAATGTTTAATAGTAAAGTATTATAAGCTGCTCAGCTCATCTCTAAAGTCTTCGTTGCCCCTTTAAAGACACTACATGTATTTCATCATGTATTCCTTTCTGAAAGGTGACCAAAATCATTGCAATGAGTAAAAAGGTTTAGCATTAGCTTTATCAAGTGATAGAGCATCTGCTTGAGTAGCCTAGGTACAGTAGCTAACAAATCTGCCATTGTCCAGGATGGAATACATAAAGTGGCAGCAAAGAACAGAGTGTACAAATCTAAATATAAAATGTAGAGAGTAATATTGAAACATAAAATAGGAATGACAGGAATGGGATATTGTGTGCAAAAATATTGTACTATGACAAGAAGTCTCTTCAGTTTTGTTGCCCCTTTAACCCTTTCACGACGATAGGCTCCATATGGAGCCCTATTATGTAATACCTTTCAGGACGATAGGCTCCTTTTGGCACCATTATTTTTATCTATATACATCAATGAAATGACAATATCTCCAGTTCTATTCAGTATTTTACACCAAATTTTGACAAGTTGTTCTAATGTGATAATCCTTACTAAAAATTGTATTTTAGTGATAAAATTCAGGGTATAGGTCCCGGGGCGTAGGTATTTTGCAGTTTTCCCCTAAAAACTGCTCTTACTTATCCGTCACCAGGGCCAACATTTTCCTCTTATATTCACGTCGGGAAAGGGTTAAAGACACTGTATTTCATCATGTATTCCTTTCTGAAAAGGTGACCAAAATAGGTCTATAAATCTATGCAGTTAGTAAACACTTAAAATAGTTCAGCATTAGCTTCATCAAGTAGACAGAGTATCAGCCTGAATCTTTTAACTGAGCTGACAATATTGCATGAGCACAATTTGCCATTGCCCAGGTTGGAATACATAAAGTGGCAGCTAAGAACAGAGAGTGTACAAATCTTAACATAAAATGTTTGGAGTATTCTTCAAAAATAAAATGGTAATGAAATGAAATGAGGTATTGAGAGCAAAATGACAAGTTATGCCTGAGCCATATTTGGAATGATATGAGCAAGTAATATTGTAGTACTATAATAATTTACTCTCAACTCATCTCTAGTCTTTGTTGCCCCTTTATAAGACACATTACTTTTATCATGTATTCTTTCCTGGAAAGGTGACCAAAATGGGTCTTTGAATCTATGTAATTGACCCTTTTCCATATAAATGGAAAAATAGATGGCATCATGGGCATTGGTAGGGCTAGATAAATGCCAACTCAATGGCAAGTCACTTAATTTCTTGATTTAACAAGTAATTCCATTTGGATCAACTTTGGAATGTAACTGTATGATATTATTGACATGTGGATTGTGATTTCAGATTAAAATTGAGATCCTTATAAGAGTAATTGAACTTTTAAAGGTTTTTCAGCATTGTGTCAATGGGGATTTAGCCCACCCATTTTTTGAATACTTGAGAATCTCTAGAATTTGAATAAAGGTAAATAATTAAGCAAATCAAAGTTGTTTTGATAGAAAATTACACAAAGAATTCAAATATGCAATCAAATATAAATAAAATGTTAGTCTTTAATGGTTAAACATGCAGATCTCCTAAAATCTCATTAAAACGAGACTTTAACAAGATTTCGAAGCTATATGGAAAAGCCTCAATTAGTAAAAGGTTCAGCATTGACACACTAAATGTCAGAGAATGTGGGTCATGAAGGCCTAAAATTTTAGGGAATCCTAAAATAGTGGATGTGTCAGTAGTCAGAGACTTTTGCATAAGTGTTGGAGATAATGTGCCAACAAAATACTGTATGTTTACTATTTTAGGGCTATGGCAGAATATCATTCAAATTTGAAATCATTTATTTTGTAAAACCACGAATTTATGTACATCTTTTCATGCGGGCTAAGTGAATGTGATTCTGAAGGCTTTCGTGTCCATTGCCTTTCCATAGCCATTTAGATAAATTACAGAGTACTGTGATATGCTGTGTTAGTTTCACAGTTCTATGACACTAAGTCATAGCTAACTAAGAGAGACTGTATTTAAGATTTTTATTCCACCAAATGAAGTTTGGGAGGAATATAGAGAAGCTGTGTGTCCATCCATTTGTTCGTCCATTAATTGTCTGTCCGGCACTAACTCTAATACAGGATGACGTTTTTGGTTCAAATTTCGTAGGCTGATGCCCTGTGGATATATGAAATTTTGAAATATTTTGGGCTCATCCATTCACAACAAGATGTTAAATATCCATCTAAAGAAGGCTGTGTTGTTTCATTTTGCATGTAGCTGTTTGTGCTTTTCAATCAATAAATAGCTTTAGACTAGATCTATAATCTAAAAATCAGATTTGAATTTCTGAGAACTTTTAGATGACTTGGTCAATTTGGTCAATTTGAAGCAAGATGGAAAAATACCTTTTTTGACCTTGAGAAGGTCAAATCTCAAATCTTAAGTCAGATTTGGACTTATGAGAACTTTTAGATGACTTTGAAAAAATTGAAGTCAGTCTAAACAGTGTTTAAGTTATTAGAAGGTACCACAAACTGCCAACCACCAATGGCCATCACAAAAAAATGGAGACCATAACAATATGTCACCACCTTTTGGTTGTGACATAAAAATGATTCAATATTTGTGATCTTCTACTCAATACCTTTGATTTTAATATTATAAAAAGTCAGACTTTAAAGATCCTCATAATTAATGGAAATCCTGGCTTTAGGCAGTCGTCTTTGGATTATGAGGCTAAAATGACAAAATATCTGCAATCTACTCTATCATTTAAGTGTAAAAACATACAAAATCTGCAATCTATAAAGTATATTTTGAAGAAAACTCAAAATTAATGAAAATTCCTGTGTTCTCAATAAGTTATGCTGAAATGGACAGACAGACATTCTCTATATCCTCAAAACTTCTTTTGGTGAGATAATAAGGTATATAGTGTAGGTACATGTGTCACATTGGATCAAAGAAACTGACTACATCTACTTTTTCTTTTGTCAGTGAATGTATCTGTGGCACTTTCACGATCGAATTTGCATAGTATTGTAGCTATGTGAGATTTGAATAAGAAAGGTATACCTTACATGGATACCTGAATAGATAATTTATTATCAAGTATAAATTATTCCTCATTTGAATAGAACAGCTTGTGCCCTTCTCATTTTGAATATTCATACACATTCGTCTCATGAAATATGGCCACTTTAGAGAGTCAATTTTGAAACTGATTGTGAAAGTGCCATAAATAACAAACCAGGACAAACAATATTTGCTATTCATCACAATGTTCAACTTCTTTGACTAACATTGAATTTTAAGTACAGTGAAACCTGTAAAGTGGAACACCTTTAGAAGTGGAACAACTGTACAAGTGGAACACTTCAGAGTCACAAGACCAACTGTCTTGATGTTAAATGAAGCTCTATAAGTGGAACACCTCTATTAGTGAAACACTTTTCAGAGTCACAAGACCAACTGACTTCATTCAATGCTATAAAATAAGGTTGACAAAATTAGAATATCAGTTCTAAGCGATATCACCAATTAATCAAGAAAGATCAGATTTGGCCCGTCCGAAATGTTCCTTGTTTGCAGGTTTGACTGTATTTGCAATTATGAAATGTAGAGGTCATATATTCCCCATTATAGACCAGTGAATAAATTGTTCTATTTATTGTGACATACATGTGACGTATCATATTAGAATTACATGTACTTGTATATATTACTACTGTTTTTGTTATTACTTTGTTTGTGTATCATACAATAAAATGAATAAAGCATACATATATAGAAACATAAAACATCCATGTGTATGTCTTCTAAATGGTTTGATGCATTCAACTATAAGATTTCATTTTCAACTAAAGTTTGATATTTTATTACATTTTAACTTACATTGATGCTACATTCTTCAAATTACACTCAGATCAATTTGTACATTACATTTACAAATAAATATTTTATTTATGCTATATTATTTATAAAGCTGTTAATGCAATACTCAGAAACATCTGCCATACTGAGCCAGTCAGTTTGGGCCTCTTTGTTGGGTCTGACAGTTACATAAGGAAGGACTGATTGAAAAAGCTCCAAATAAAATTACTCATTGACTTAAATAGACAACATTCAATTTCAATTTATTGTGTCATATAAGAGTTGGGCAAAAATTATTATAAAATTAAGGTAAGTGAAAAGTAGTAATTTGGTTGATTGGCTGGACATGGCCTTTCAAAACTTACATGCATACATAATTAGATATTGTCATGGGTACTTGGCTTACAAGACAGGCCATAACCTGATTTCTGAGCAATCAAAATGGCTGCCAATTTGAAATGAGGTAAGCTTTTGAGATGGAACTTAGGGGCAAATGAAGAATTCAAATAGACACATCTTAAAAGACAGTGTAGACCTTCTTCATCCTAGGTGTAAAAAACTACAGAATTCTGGAGATATTTATCATCAGCAGAGAAAAGAAATAAGGATGATCCCACCCAATAGCCATCTCTGGTGCTGGCGTATACTATTGTTCATAAACACCTATTCTATGCATTGGATCATCTTCATAAATATACTACAATTACAGTATATTGTCTAATATGTACACTTTAAAATGATTAACAATTGCAAATGCTCAACATTGCACAACTTTACATCATATTCCTTTCACTATTTTACACGCAATTTCAAACCTGGTTTGTATACAAGATCTCAGTTCTTGGTATAACAGACAAAATCATGGATGAAAAGCCCTTTACATTTTAGTTTAAAACTTAAGATAAATCATTTCATTTGCTGTGATTAAATATGAATGATATTTTACATGAACTCATCTCAAACCTTGAACTTCATTTTTTATCAATTTTTCTTTATATTAATGAGACTTTATTTCTTCAAGAAAATTTAAGCATGTCATAAGTAATGCCCATTTACCTGTTAATGCTAACATTATAAACATCACATGTTAATATTTACACTTTCCATAATGTATGTTTCAACAGTCATTACTCCAATACAAATTTTGACAATCTACACTGTCATAGAACTTCACTCTGAATTTGTAATATAACACATGTATCATGTTTGAGTCAATAGTTTCTTTGGCAATTTCAGTTTGTTTTCATGTATTAGAGTTGCTATTACTGGAACAGAATGGAATTACTGTCCAAACTGTTCTTTCTTTACTTCATGTTCTGAAATCTACAAGCAAATTCTGATTTCTGTTCTCTTCCATGCAAGCCAAAATCATGGAAATACAGAAAATGAGTCCATCACCAAATACAGGTAAACCAAATGAATTCTTAATTTGATTAAATGACTGTAAACAGGCTTATACATTCTAGGTGAGTAGCATTGGCTAAAAACTACATGACAAATATGATAGCTTCTTTAGATATAAATCCACATTGTGAAGTTCAGTATATTACCATTGCATACATATTTGTAGACCTCTTTCCAACTACGAGTGACTTCAGTATGATTAGCAGAATCCTTGAGCCATTTTCAACATGGGGGTCTATTATTTCTGGACTTTCACTCTAAATTTAATTTGGTTATGACTTGTGTAAGAGGTTGTTGTTTGTGGACTATAATTCACTTAATTTGGTAATGGCTTGTCTGTGGGATCCACTTTCTGTGGACTTTTACTCTCCAAAAGACCTCTTGTACTAGAAGTGCTACTGAAGCTTGAACCATCAGTCCCATCTGTTGTACTTAATGGGGTACCAGGGAGAGACACCACCTCAAGACTCTGCAAGAATACATTATGGTACACGGTTACTAAAGCGATATAATATATCACAAGTTGAAGGTTAAGTTTGTTAGAGTGGGACGACTTCCTCACTTCCAGGCTTTGCAAAGAAAATATAATATACTTTGGAATGTTGAAAGATTTTCTGGAGTGCCATCTCCTATATAGTATGCAATAAATCAAGTTCTATGAATAAATATGAAGCCTCATTGTAACTATGTCTCCACATGCCTTAAATGTGAAATTTTACAAAAGTAAATTTTCTATTAATTACAATACAAACCTATTCCATGACTTATGCTTATACCCCTAATTTGGAAAAATGGACGAGTCTAAAAATATCAAAATACAAGACCTTACACCCCTATATATACCAATATATGTGCATGCCTTCATAAATAGTACGCAGTAAAACTTGATAAAACATACCAAATAAAATACTGGGGGGAGGCTGGGTGGGCCTCAGGTCATGGAATAGGTTTGTATTGTAATTAATAGAAAATTTACTTTTGTAAAATTTCACAATTACATACAATCCAACCTATTCCATGACTTATGCTGAATAAAAAGCTATGGTGGAGGGAGAAAACCCAATAACAAAGTAAGAATAAGATAAACATATTACCATCCTACTGTGTCACACAACAAACCAGTCGTCCTGTGATTGAAACATCCATTTCCTATCCACAGCTGAATCCTGAACGGAGACTGCATTATGTCTTAGGTATCATAGTTTTGGTGAAAACCATATCTATAATACACTAAGAAGCAGGCAGGTATGATGAACAAAAGTTACAACAGTGACAAGCCCCTATGTAGGTCTTCAAGGGCGTTACTGAAGTCAGACGAACTGAACAACAGAGCACCCCTCTACAATGCAGTAATGTACCTGACATCTCATCGGTGTCCTACTAGAATCCAACATCTAAGGAAGGGATAAACTTACTTAGTAGAATGCTGGATGGAGACTGCATGATGTCCAAGAGATCCTAGTTTTGGTGAAAACCACATCTATAATGTACTAAGAAGCAGGCAAGTTTGATGAACAAAGTTACAACAGTGACATGCCCCTATGTAGGTCTTCAAGAGTGTTCCTGAAATCAGACAAACTGAACAACATAAAATATGGAGACTGCATGATGTCCTAGGTATCATAGTTTTGGTGAAAACCACATCTAAAATACACTAAGAAGCAGGCAAGTTTGATGAACAAAGTTTCAACAGTGACATGCCCCTATGTAGGTCTTCAAGAGTGTTCTTGAAATCAGAAGAACTGAACAACAAAAAAAAAAAATATGGAGACTGCATGATGTCCTAGGTATCATAGTTTTGGTGAAAACCACATCTAAAATACACTAAGAAGCAGGCAAGTTTGATGAACAAAGTTTCAACAGTGACATGCCCCTATGTAGGTCTTCAAGAGTGTTCCTGAAATCAGAAGAACTGAACAACAAAAACATCCCCTAAAATGCAGTAATATCCCTGACATCTAACTGGTGTCCTTCTAGAGTCAAAAACATCTACACCAAGGAAAAACATAAAAGTTACTTGTTGTAGACAGCTCTCGCTAAAACCAGTTTTTGAAGATTTCCTCTCTATCACTGTGACATTCCACAAAGAATAGTTTGTGAACTTATTGTGGAAGACCAGGACCATGTCTTCGAAGACAATGTAAGGGATAAACTAGTCATCCTTCTTCAAAGGACTTCATTTATGCTTAAATTTAGCATTTACAAGTACAGTATTTGTATTTATAAGTATTTTATATACTTGTAAAATACCCTTTCAGCAAGGATGAGACTAGTGTGTAAGGCAAAAGAAGATATTGCTCTAATTTATACATGGCCGTATCTTCCCTAAAAGTCTACTTTCTGCTGGAGCATTTGTAATTGTATGAGAAAAAAGTAGATTACCCATGATAACAAGATGTAAGGGTAATGTTCTGAAGTGCCCCCATTTCTTGTAAGGTATAAACAGTCTGTGCCTAGTCCCTATGTAACCTGTATATAATAAACACCAAGGTCTGATAGGGCATTGATTTTAGGGACCATACTCAGGCCCGTAAGACACTTTTCTCCAAGGGGGGTGCGGTTTTTAGCTTACTAAAGAGAATATAAAATTGTCAATTTTTTGCCGCGTAAATCAAATCGCGTAAGTCAGATGGGGGGGGGGGGGGGGGGGGGGGCTCAGTTACTCTCTATATTGGTTTGGAATTAACAAATGCAACTTCCAAACGTTCAAATTGTTTTGTGGGGGTCGTGACGAGTGGTCCACTCCCCCTAGAAAATTTTACAGTTTTGAGATGCTATTTGGTGCTTTCTGGGCACTTTCAAAGTGTAAGTTTCCAAGTAGTACGCCACCACCACGGGAATAAGAGTTGAGTGAATAAAAACCGAGCATTCAGGGGGGTCTGGGGTCCTTCCCCAGGAAAATTTTGAAATTTGGTTGTATTTGGAGCGAATTTGCAACCATCTGGTACGCCTGTGCGTTATGAGTCAATAAGAAAAATGTGAATTTTTTTTCAAATTCTTTTGGGGGTGTCAAAGAGGATGAGAGGGTGAAGTGGGGTGGGGGCCAGTAGGGGAGCAAGGAATATTTTCTTTTGTTTTGTGGGGGATCTGAGGTGTGGCTAACTCTCCTAGAAAATTTTACAATTTAAAGATGATATTTGGTGCTTCTGGTAGTCAATAAAAACATTGAAAAACAAGCACATCAAATTTTGGGGTTGTCAATGGGGGGGGGGGGGGTGCCAGAGGGGGAGGTGGGGCTGGGGTGCCAGAGGGGAGCAAGTGTTTGTCCACCATATCAACATTTACAATATCAAGGTGCTATTCGATGAAGTTTGGGCACTTTAAAAGTGTCTGTGCCTAAAAGTGCCTATTTCCCAAGAAAATTTTACAATTTTAAGGTGCTATTTGGTGCTTTCTGGGCACTTTCAAAGGGGGTGTTAGGGGGGGGGGCTGCCAGAGGGGGAGGTGGAGTGGGGATGCCAGAGGGCGAGTAAGTGTTAGTCTTCCAGAATCATTAACTTTATCAAGGAGCTATTTGATGATGTCTGGGCAATTTAAAAGTGTCAATACATAAAACAAAATCAGAACTTTTCCATTGTTTTGTTTGGGGTGTGAGGGGTGGCCCACTCCCCCTAGAAGATTTTACAATTTTACGACGCTATTTGGTGCTTTCTGGGCACTTTCAAAGTGTATGAGTCAATTAAAGAATTTGAGAAAATCACAATTATTTTGGGGGGAGGGGGTCAAGGGGGGGGGGGGGGGCGCCAGAGGGAGGGGGGTTATGCAAGTGCAAGATGCAAGAGGGGGAGCAAGTCCCCCAGAAACACTTACTATATCAAGGAGCTATTTGATGATGTCTGGGCACTTTGAAAGTGTCTGAGACAAAACACTAAAATAAATTTAGAACTTTTCCATTGTTTTGTGGGGGTGTGAGGGGTGGCCAATGCCCCTAGAAAATTTTACAATTTTAAGATGCTATTTGGTGCTCTCTGGGTACTTTCAAAGTGTATGAGTCAATGAAAAAAAATTTTTCAAAAAAAGTTTTTCAAATTTATTTTGGGGGGTGACAAAGGGGGGTGCGGTCGCACCCATCGCACCCCCCCATCTGACGGCCCTGATACTACTACTAGGAACTGATAAAAACCAGTTGATAGTTGAAGATCCACTGTAAATGTGGACATGGGGAGACCCTCAAGGCAGTCCAGACAAACATAGAAGTGTCTGACTTAAAGATCTAGATTGTAAAGTTGGGTCAGTTGCCAAACATTTCCAACCAAATGAAACTAAATCCCTTAAACTCTAGATACAGCTGTGTACAGTGTACTCTGTGTTCCAGAGATACACCAACACCTGTGTAGGCAGTAGACACTAGTATACAAAGCTAACATTGCTCCAAACCAAAGATATCTACAAAAGGAGGCTCATCCTACTTCCTAATAGTAGAACTTACCAGAATCCTTCAATGACAAAACAGAGCCATACAAATTGTTGGATCTACAACTCCATAAACCTAGACTCATGGAGTGATATCTTAAGGTAAACCAAGTGAAACATGAAGTTGTCCTCAAGAACAGACGAGTGACAAAAACCTAATCTCCATCTATTCATTGCATAAGGTACTGAACAGATTGCCACAGTTGTGCATCAAAGTACTTCAGTATAATTGTGTACATCTCCTTAAAGATAAACAAATCAAGACAACATTCTATTATTCCAATCCAAGTTAGGAATTGACCGAATAAACATCTTGATGGTTAGCCTGTAGAGTATACTGTAGGTTATTGGATCCACATAACAAAAAGTTACTGCATATAGCATATAGAATTGCTCCTAAGATCCACATGATTCCTGACATGCAAGACCAACCTATCAGTTGCTCTAACCAAGTTTGCAGTTGACAGACTAGTGGCCTAGTGGTCTGTTAAACTGATTAGTCCATCTGTTAGATAGAATCAAAAGCACATATCCTAAGTACTATAAATAATGTAAAGTAGTACTACAAGTGTGTGCAGTAGCCTGTTGATTTACATGATTCATGAAGTGGACCATGTCTAGCAGTAGCTCTATCAAGATTTGCTGTTTGCAGGCAAATAGCATCTTAAAAAGCATAGTCTATCCATCTGTCTAAAAGTATAAACAGCATATATCACAAAAAGACTGTTCATACAAGAACTAATGTAAATGTTTACAATAGGTTGTAGGATACACCTGATTCCTGACCTAGAAACATATCTTTCAGTTGCTCCATTCAGGTTTTAAGTTGACAGACTAAAGGTAACTTTAACTTACTAGTTCCTCCATCTGTCTAAAAGTATAAAAAGTACATATATAGCATTAGCATATATTCCTGAAGAATAAAGTGATGCGCAAGTGCACTATGCAACTATGTACAGTAGCTTGTTGGGTCAACATAAAGCTTCACCTGGAACACGCCCTTCCGTTGCTCTATTCAGGTTGAAGTAGACATAATAGTGACATCTATTTGCAAAAAAAGTACAACCCATACCCTAAGAGCCAAACAGTAATCAACAGTAACTTTAAGTAAAGTTGAATTAAAGTTGTAGTTCAATGAACGAATAGTTAAATGGACCACACTACTTTGAGTGAAACCATTAAGCAAATCAAGCCAAACTGCTTCATATATGTTGAACAGTTGAACAGATAACCATACTCACCAAAGTAGTAACTTTTGGGAGTGATGATGCAAGGAGTACTATATAGATCAATCTCTAATAGTCAATCCTGGTCCTAGCCCCAAAAAGCCACAGTTCAATGCTTAAAGATGTAATGAAGAATATACAAAAAGCATCTAACCAACCATGCTAATGTAGGTTATATCTCATCTATTGCTGGATGAGCAATATAAAACTAAAATTAAGCCATTTGAATAATAAACCCATGATACATACCAGTAAGCTTAGAAGTAATGGGTTTCCAAAAAGGACTCTTTTAAGATGTAAAGTAAGAGTGAAGTTACTCTGTCTTAATCTGATAAAGGATGTCCTGGGCAAAAATAAGTGCTAAATTGATAAAAACTATATCCCTACCAAAGTAAAAGCTCTGTAGATTCTTATGAAATGACATAATGTATGACGTTGACAAAAACTGTCATAGTTGTTTGATCTCCAATCTAATAACAGAAAAATAATAATACTTCTGATATATTAATTAGCCTGGAAATGGAGAACCAAATATAGACTTCAAAAGACTAAAGTTGAAGTAAATCTCAACAATCTCTACTTGCAGAGTGAAAAACTAAGCTAAAATAAGGGAAAAAATATACAGTCTGAGAACACCTCTTGTGATGGAGGACTGTACAATGCTAGTAAACTAAGAGGAAAATATTTATCATTCCTTAATTTCATGCTGTAGCAGAAAAGTGAAATAAACCAGAATGATTGAACAAATAATGTATCCAAAGTAATGTGAAGTTAAACTGAAGACTACTAACCTAGTAAAGCAACATCAGTATGTGTTGCTACATAGTCGTAGAATAAGTGTCATACCCAAAGGGTAAAACTCCTTAGGCAAGCAAGAAAACATGGTTAATATAAGAAGCCTTAAAATAACTCTGAACAGAATTGTCAAAAACTAAACTTCTGCCAAAAACAGAGATTAGTTGACTGCTGATGTAATCTAAACACTAAAAATGTTAGTTACAACGAAAAATATTACAAAAACATGAAAGCAATAGATGAGGTCTATGCCACAACTACGAATAAATGTAACTCTCCTTATAACATAGGAATAAGACTGGTTACTCAGAAAAACTGAATAAAACCAAAAAACACAATGTACCACTAACTACAGAAGTGTACAGATGTGGAAGTACTTCATACAAAGAGAGGCTACTCTGGAGTATGAAAACAAAACAAAACAATCAACACACTCTAAAGCAAGCTATCTGGAAATGATATTGTTGTTGAAAAGCTTATCTCAGCTGGAGAAATGCAAGTGAAAAACAAACTGCTTACTCCAAACATTGGATAGACACAAAAGTATATGAGTGAATAAAAACACTCATGAACTACTAGGTCAAAATTACATAAGAATTACACCAGAAGAGTGTAAATCTAGAGGATTATTACACTGTCCTAATACTCTAAACAATAAAAATGTGTAAAGAGTGAAAGGAGTAAAGGTCACTTTTAATAAAGGACAAGAGTGTACCTGCAGTGTTCCTAGAAAAACCACAACCTACATTAAGAATGCAATGTAGGTCAAAAATAAGTTCAACTAGTCTGAACTCATTATCCTTCAACCAGCATCTATCAGCTTTCTCATAAGAGAATGCTAGCTAAGATGTGGACATGTAAAATAGTATCCACTGGAGGAAAAAATAAAATAACTGACCTTCATCTTGTATCAAGTGCACCTTAGGCAACCACAAATGATCAAGCTAAACAGAGGAGTGACTTATGAAGCTCTGTCTAAGTATCTTCTGTAACTGTAGGAGTCTAGAGACTCCTGGACATCTTCAGTGACTCAATAGTTGCCATGCAACATTGTTCACTATCTGTCCTAAAGGTCTGCTACTCTGCTTTCTAGGGATCTGTGACAGTCCATAGAAGAGACTTTTTCCTATTCTAGTTCAAAAGATTGAATGATTAGATTCTAATAACCTTCTTGGTAACCAATAATCATGCCTATATCTGCCAGCAATTTGCCTATTAAATAACAAACTTCTAGCAAACACAGTCACTAAGTTAGACTCATGAAAAAATAACCATCCTTCCAGTTCAGACGAGTACTATTTATGAAGGCATGCACATATATTGGTATATATAGGGGTGTAAGGTCTTGTATTTTGATATTTTTAGACTCGTCCATTTTTCCAAATTAGGGGTATAAGCATAAGTCATGGAATAGGTTGGATTGTATGTAATTGCTCTTTTTTAATTTATATGTATAGTTCAACAGTCTATTAATTCAGAATTCATGAACACACCTGTCCTGTCGCATTAACAAGGGGGTCACTCTCCCCTTTCATACCAGTGTCATACATTCTTCCATTTCTTGAGTGTGCTCTGAACTCAGCATCCTCTTTGGCCTCTGAAAAGAACAAATAAACATACATTTCGGCTGTATTCTCTTGGAATTAACATGGAAAATGGGGAAATATTGAGAAGACCGCACATACAAAATTTGAGAAAAAATATTGCAGATAATACGTAAAAATCAATACATATTATGTTTCAAATTTGTTTTAGTTCACACTAGACTTTGGTCCAGAATTTTTTATGATGGATTTTATTGGCTTGCGCACTTTTTGGGGGATGTGCAGTCTTTATTAATGCCATAGTTAATATTTCAATCCTTGACATTCAATGTTTATACATTTGTACCATTCAATGTTTTAATTATTCTTTTAGTTACAATCAATTCAACAATCATTTATCATTCTACAAAATATGAAAGAGATCAGTTCACAAGTATTTGAATTATTACCCAAGCAGACAGGCAGATTAATGGATAGAGGGTGTCCCTCTACCAAACTTTGTTTATTGGAATAAATATATGAACAGTAAAGCCTGTGTAAGTGCAACACCCAACATCAAAGAGGATTGGCTCCCAAAATGAAACATCGATATTCTGTCCCATATATGGTATGGTGACCTTTAACCTCATTCACACATGACAGTTTCCAGAAACATGTCAGATGTACATAAGGTTAAAGGTCACATACCATGTATGGGACAGAATATCGATGTTGCATTCTAGGAGCCAATCCTCCTTCACACCTTTGGTACTTCTAAAGCTGGTGTTTAACTTACAGATGTTCATTTGACATAATAATCAATTGGTCAAGAGACTCTGAAAAGTGTTCCACTAGCGCAGGAGTTCCACTTACAGAGGTGTTCCACTTAACAGGTTTTAGTATATTTACTACTGTGTCTATTTTACCTAAGTCCCTATAAGTAGGTATAGGAGATGAGGAACCTTTGGTGAGGGGTTTCCCATTGTCGCCATCTTGTACTATTGCAGCAGAACCCAGATTTTCAGCACTCTTGCTAATCTGAAAGGAACAAAATACAGATTAGACAGTTTAATGTAAACGATAGCTATATTGTATTGTATTTTGTTTACCACCAATGAAGGTGAGCTATATCTCTTGGGTATATCCTGTATATATACGGTCGTTATTAACATAATTAGGCTGGAGGATAGACCAAGAAACCCATCCTTGAAGGAGTCATGTGTGCCAGGATCGAATCTGGGACCTATTGCATAAGAGGTACCCGCGCTACTTATATAGACTATATGCGAATACAAATAATATTGATTTTCATCAATAATCAACAATGTCTAGTCAAAGTCAGATTCTATATTTGAAAAGTGCATACAAATTTACTATACATTAAATATGTAGTTCTTAAATTGTTGATCAACTTTAAAATTTCAATTTTCTGTGATTTTTAGGTCAGGGAGATTCCATGTTTTAAATTAAGGAAAAGTGTAAATCTTTCCTTTTTTGAAGAGTAGTTAATTGGTTGCTAAGCATCCAACATAAATGATAACAAATTATTATTAGAACCCTACATGATTTGCATATAATTGTATTTGGAAACTATTAAAATGCCAGAGAATGACCTGACCTAAAAAGGTAATCCAGGTTATTAAAAAAATATACAATGAATATTTTTATTTAATGATAGAGGGCACAAAATAACTAAAATAAAATACGAAAGTGGAAGTTTGATGATATGAATCCTAATATAATATATGAGGTAGAGAATCACTTACGAAATTTATTGACCACCCCTTTATTGACAACCCCTTGTCCTTTATTTCAATGGTACCTGTTACACTGCTGGGTTGAGTCTAACGAAGCATTTTTGTAACGAAGGTTAGCGAAAAAATTGTGTCCACACTGGCTTTATCCAACCCTAATGAAGCAATTATTTGGTGTTACACTGCACTTTAAATGCTTCGTTGCGCGTGCGCATTACTCATTTGCCCCACCCACTTATTATGATTAATATTTTTATTCTTTTGATATAAACCATTGATCAAACTCAAAAATGTAATTTTTAATCTTTGTTTTAACAAATCAGCACAGAAAAAGACTAGTTCAAAATTCTCGGGAAAATAAAACAAGATGAATGTGATCATTCCGTACACATGTCCATACATTTTTCCTATCATTTCGATTTTTATATATTTCAGCTGTCAATACGATTACAAGTATTGTTTTCATTTTCTATCATTTCCTTTGGAAAACATATGGAATAAAAATAGGCCTATGTTAATTACTAGGAGGAATTGGATTTGGGGTTTATACAGACGACTAGTATGTAATATCGTATAAAAACGTTCAATTTCAAAATGGACATCTCAGTTATATTTCAAATAGTGTAGCCATTACTAAAATATCTCGGTGTTCGGCTGGTGGTTTAACTCACGCGGTCTTAACTTCGATCGTTAATTTTCGACCTACCAGATGCTTGAAAATCAAGGATTACGAGTCTCATACTGCACCGTTTTTCTTCAAACCTATACCATTAAAAGCAAAACAAAATTGCCTTTCTGTCGGTGCATTACTTTATTGTAAAGAGTCCCTCGTTCTAGCAGCGTTTTGGTCCCCAGCTGTTAGAAGGCCTTCTTACAGCTGGGGACCAAAATGCCGCTGGAAGTAGGGACTCTGTTTAAGAGAATAATGTACCATCAGAAAGGGATTTTTGTTATGCTTTGAATGGAACAAGTTTGTAGAAAAAAAAGTTGCAGTATGAGACTCGTAATCCTTGATTTTCAAACATCCTGTAGGTCAAAAATTCAAATTAACGGTCGAAGTTAGGACCGCGTGTAACTACTATTTCATGACCAATATGAATATTACCCGTCTCGCCAATGCATATTTGAGTGAGTTTGACATAAATTAGTTTGTTAATCCATCAGCCGTCCGTTGAATTCGAAAATGGCGCAAATAGGAAGAAACTTGAATATCAGTTGTAAGCATCGTATTACGACACATCAATAGTGTTTGGGGCTGGCCTAAAACATGCAACCTCTCTGTGGCAAATATCTGTCGACATGAAACAATTTTGGCCACCGTTCCTTGTCCGCAGGTTTTATTGTATTTGTATACGGTAGTTTGAAACGTAATTAATTCAATATATTCAAACATGAAGTTTAAATTCAATTACAATTTAAAATCGTCGAAGAATAAAATAATGGAACGACTAGTACAAGTACATGTATTGCAATGGGGTGATAGCCAGTTGAATACGATTTCTGAAGAGAGACATTTTCGAATCAATCAAATCGGCTATATTCCCTGATGTGATTCACCAGGAAGCAATCGTATCAGTATCATGGTATTAACACCTTTAGAATTAAATTCAAGGTATAATTATTCGAGGCGTAAGAAAAAATTAATATTAAACATGTATGCCACAACTTTCTATTTAGTAATCATATCTTATGTAATTTCAAAAGTTTACCCTTCGACGCTTGAGACGGAGTTTTCCGAAAGAGGGACATTTAAATATTCTAGGTTTATTCTCTAATAGATCAGATAAACGTTTCAAAACTACTGTATATATATACGGTAAAACCTGCGTTTTTTAGATTTAATACTTTTTGCCATATCAATTCGAGGAAAGGCAGGGAATCGAATGAAATGCTACGAAAGACGGTAAATCACATTTGTATGTGGCGTTTAGGGCTTGAGTTAGCGTCAATCAGTGACGCATACAGGTAATTATTTTAATCAAAACGTAGCATTATAATAATACGTACTTAAAAACATGTTCTTTCCTCGCGATTCCTCTCATTTAATACAAAATGATGAATGTGCTCTTTATTACGCGCATGCGCAAACCGCCAACTAAGCATTTTCTAACGAAGCTACCTGTTACACAGGCCAAAAAAGCTTCGTTGGGAGCTAACCTTCGTTGAATTTTCTACTCAATTGCTTCGTTATCAACTAAGCTTTTCCAACGAAGGCGGAGGTGTTACACTGGCTCAAAATTGCTTCGTTACGAAGCTTTTTGTCAAATTGCTTCGTAACGAAGCATTTCAACTGGCCTGTGTAACAGGGGTCAATGTTGGAAACATGTTTTCACAGGGCCTTTAATAGATAAACATGTACCTGTTTATTTGGAGTTGTCTGGACCTCATTGACCAGCTCCACAGTAGCAGCATCTGATTCCTCTTTACTAGCCTCAGTGTTAGGGTACCTGCAACATAAACAACAATATGCATTAATTGTCTGAACTCATAAATAAAGAAGAACATGTGTTAAAATTATATTAACACTAAAACAGAGCCATGCAAGTAAAATATTGAAATTTTTCTTCTTTCCAAAATATCACAAAAATCATGTTGACACATGATTAAACACAGTCTAGATATGAATTAACAAGGCATAAGCATGCAAAATGTCACCACCTGCCACTTGTTACAGATGCTTAACACCAAACTCTAAATGCCAACTCCCAGACACTGTAACAAAACATTGGAGATTATAATATGTGGTGGTGACATAATATCATGAAGTAGACCAAACCTGACGATATGTCACCACCTTCATTCTGGTTGCAATTACAAACAAACATGACGATATGCCACCACCTGCATTCTGGTTGCAATTACAAACAAACATGATGATATGTCACCACCTGCATTCTGGTTGCAATTACAAACAAACATGACGATATGTCACCACCTGCATTCTGGTTGCAATTACAAACAAACATGACAATATGTCACCACCTGCATTCTGGTTGCAATTACAAACAAACATGACGATATGTCACCACCTGTATTCTGGTTGCAATTACAAATGTGTAACAATTGTTACAGATGCTGTCACTAATACCAAACGCTGGTCATAAATTGTAACAATATGTCACTGCATCTTGGTTGGGACAAAAAATACATGGCCCGAATGCAGGGCTCCAGACAATATATATTAATAAACAATAAATGACAATAATTTCATAATCAACAGTTCAAAAACCTCGAACCAACATCTTGATCACTGTGTTTTGGAACTATTTGTTTGGAAATAACACCATTTTGAAACTAGAGATTCAAATTTTGAAGAGAACACAATGGCGGCTATTTGAATTCAAATTTTGTAATCATGACATCTCCATATATGGCAGAATCTCGAGTTGGAAGCCTGGGATCCAATCCTCCTTGGTGTGGGCATTTTTATTAATAATTTATTTCCACAGAAGAAACATAGAAATATAACATACACGTGTTAAGGCTTTGCGTATCAGCATTATATGCCACAAATGTGTGGGCAAACAATGTTTCAGGTTTATTTTTATGAGAATTCTGAAAAACATTTTCTGACCTTTTAGCACACTATTATGTTATTACTGGCTTAATATTCCATTCTTTGTTTCTCAGATTATTCTATATTACTAGCTAGACTTGTATTTTGGGTGAAATATACACAAAATCAATCAAAAGAGTTGCCACGTTTTTAGTCGAAGAACATTATAGAGAAGAGTGCTGAGTGAATGTATGGTCGAATAGAGTAGAGAATCTATATATTTGATAGCTGTATACATACAGCTACTAAAGGTCAGTATAACTATAAGCGTATAAATAGCAGCCTGGAGAACTTAACTGTAGCAGATATTGACGAGTGAAGCAATAATTAGTTTTACCAGAATTCATTGGAATTCAGTTGTGCCATAAATAACGAAAAAGAAACACAATATGAAAAAATGAAGTGAAACAAATGCAGCCAGAAGGAGTATATAACTGACACAAGGTAGGACCATGTAATAGATGTTCTTAATTTTTTTGAAATGATATCAACTCAAACTTCACAAACTGGTGATGTGGTTGAAATATAATCCTAAGAATACATAATTCTACTCATGTGAATTACGTCTTTTGAAAGTTTCAAGTAACTTACAAAAACTCCACTACTTGACTCCTCAACAGGACTTTTAAATTAGATGGAAGAACTTTTATAAGGGATAAAATCTAATAACAAAAAGATTTTTAGTTACTAAGGTAACCTATTTTGGAGAACAGAAGCACATTACTTCTCTTGACGAACAAACACATAACATTCCATGGATATATGTAAAAGCATATATCCCATACTTGGATGTGTTACAGGTACATAAAGCAGGTTTGTAAAAACTTATATTTTCATCAGCTGGCAGATATAGCTTTATGTCCCGCTCCGTCATAATTGCCATTCGCATATTTGTTCATTTTTGTAACGTTTGCATAATTATGATGTAAAAAGAGACTTCCAGTGTCTAATCCTATGGATGTGCGTGTACATGTGTACATATGATTTATTTTATACGATCAACATTTATATTATTTATTTTATCTATACACCGAGGATTATATTCAGCAAAAACAACCAGTTATATCTGAAAGTTCAACATTGATCTTAATGACCTTCCTGTATGTAAAAAGTTATTTTTGAACACTACCTCATATAAAGCAGTTGTTGTAACTCAAATGCCATAAATAATAGTTAAATACCACTTACAACAGAGTTTGAAGTATGAACCAAAATGTTAATTGTGGATAACGATTTTCTGCTTTAATTTTATGGGTATGACCTTTGAGAGGTATTCATTTGAGACTGCAATTCACAGCTTTACAAGATATCCTTAATAAGTATGTAATCCATTTCTGGAGCTGAATAATGATTGGTGTATTTCAAAATTAAATACAAGGCATTGACATGCAAAATGTCACAACCTGCCATTTGTTACAGACACAGATTGCAGTTACAGATGCTGAACACTGTTAAAGATGCCAAACACCTGCCATAAAAAATTGGAGACTATTACAATATGATACCACTTTTGTTGGTGACATAATTACCTCCTTTAAATTATCAATTTCCATAAGCAAAACATAATTCTTAATTACACTTGTGGACATAAATAGTGTATCCCTTAGAGATCATGTTAAAAATTGGTGGAGTGTTTGCACCTTCCCTGTCTCAAAGTCTAAATTATTTTATCATCTCTATGAGTGCCAAAATCCAACATATGACTCTCTGAAATTTGCTGCACTACTATCTTTGGTCCTTTAAGTTAAAAATATTAAAGTATAGTATCAAACTTTGAAGAACTTAAAGAACTTGAAATGTTTTGACATTGATTTGACCTTGACCCAGATAAAAACAACAATGGTTACTCAATTGTTCCTTATTAAATGTTTAAATAAAATTGTATAAACTAAAATCTGTATATCTGAACACCTCTATAATCTGAACTCAGCCCAATATAACACTTATTCCGGGTCCCACTTTTATTTCTCCTATTGACTCCTATTGATAAACCTTGAAATGAATTATTGCTTATCTGAGACACTTTTGGCTTATTCCAGTGCCTTCAGACTATATAGGATTTGATGTACCATAAATTTTAAACCACCCCTATAAATACACAAGACAAACACAATGTTGTTATTTCATTAATGATCTGGCATTGTCATGGTAACTAGAAAAAATATCGCCGTTTATATCTGGAGCTGGGTTGTTAATTTAACAGAACATCAATTATCTATATGGCTGTGGAGCGCATTGGGAGTCTCTTCATTGAATTCGTACCAATTGTTAGTGCCACCAATAAGGGAGGCACCCACATTGGTACCGCCCTAGGGAGGTGGCTCCCCTGCCGGATGCCGTACTTTTCCCCTAGGGAGGCGGCACCCTTACCTGATGCCGCCTAACAAATGTGGCAACTTAATCTGGTGCCGCTAGATAATCAGTTTAAATTGTTTTATTAAAGGTGGGGCGTTGCCAAAAGCACCATAAACGAAACCTGTGAAGTTGCCCCAGCCATTCAGGTAAGTATATACCTAATTGCGTCAATTTCAAACTTGATGCCAGAACTTAAGGACAAAAAATGTTGGAATAAAGTTAACAGTATGAATGCAGCTACTTAAAAAATATTTTCATGTATTTAATTTTCTAGGCCAGGATTCGTCAATTTTCAGAAAAATGTCAGGCATAATCCATTGACAAAAATCGTTAATGAATGATAATGTCAGCTTAGGTTACTTCCTGCAAGTGCAATCAATAGCATTATATTAAAACAATAAGTTTAGATCTAAATTTTTGCAGATGTAATGTTCCCTATTAGCCTTGATTTGAAGCTATAACTATCCCAAAGTGTGAAGGTTGTAATACACTTTATGCTCTTTAATATGTGCATATAATTACTTCATGGGCATCTTGTTCTATAGACTATATAAAGCTGGCATAGAATAGAATTTTAATGTTGGCATGTTTGGAGCTCTCGATGGATGTTGCAGAGAGCATTCAATTGACAATCAACCGTTCCGACATTTGATGCCAGCTCCAAAGCTATGGTCTCCAATTAGATGAATGATTAGCTGAAACGAAAGATCTCAAAACACTGGATTTAAAGGTTTGCTAGATTGCTAAATCTAACGGATAGCATCACAGCATTTCAACACTAAGAGGTAAAGAGATGCCTTGGTTTACCATGATATACTCTCGTTCTATTGATTTTTTATGTTCTAATTTCCAGTTTCAGCCAAATTGCCCTTGAAGTATTTTAGTTTACTGGTGCATGAAGACACTTGCTACTGTGTATGCCAGTAATCAGCAGACCCAATTAATTAACCTGGTTAACATGGCACATTTTGATGGTCAGGTATAGTTACATGCAAAATGTCACCCCCTGCCATTGTTACAAACTCTGAATGCCAACTGCCAAACACTAAACACCAACTGCTGAATGCAAAACATAAACAGTCAAAAACCATCCACAAAAAGTTGGAGACATGATAAGAATACTTGTGGTGGTGGCAGATCTCTGATGGCATCAAATATAAACTATGCCCAGTAACCCCATACTGGAAAACCAGTGCAATCTTTCAAATATAACATACTGGATCAATATGAGAATTCCTGGAAAGATATTTCAAGTTTTGCAAGACAATATTATTGCCTAACCCTAATATTGAGCTCTTCAATGTTGTTCATTGATACTATGTTTAACTGAAGGCTTCAACCCCAATTATAAAGAGATTGATTTTGTGACTTTAAAAGAGAGGTTCATCCATCGTTCATACATTGCGATAAACATCGCCAAAGTTGATTCTTGCGATGCATAGATGTTTGAAACAAAACATCGATGTTTTGAAAAACATTTAATTTGCTAAAACTCACCCTTTCTTATCTCATTTTGACGCAAATGTCTTACCTTTC